AGTTAGAGAAGCTGAGGTCCTTAAATGTCCATATTAAGTCTCCAAGTAAAGTTGTCTAGTTCCTATAATTCCTATCATTGCGTTTGTGGAGTAAATCTTCCACACCCAGTAGACTCTCTGTTCAGCTCTGGGAAGCATGGGGGAAACAAAACATCTCTGAGAGGTACTGGGATTACTGGACTTGAGAAGACCACAGACCAACTGCTGAGATGGAATCTTTAGGTCGAAGTGTTTAAATAGGAGCAAGAAATCTCCTAAACTTTCCTGTCAGGGAAAAGATTTTTAAAAAACAGTTGCAGTGTTCTTGTGGCTGCCAAAATGAAGAAACTAGAGGATTGGTGGCATTTCCGAGTTATGCTTGCTAGGAAAATCCATGAACACAGGATGTAAGGTTCTATTCCCAGATTTCCAATTTTAAGTGACAAATACTGGACTACATCTGTTTTAGTGCAGTTTGATCTAAGATAATATCATATTTAGAGCAATTTTAGCTATATAGCTTTGCAAAGAGTAGAGCTTTCTCATGTCACAACTTTCTGGGTAGATGACTTTCCCTTCCTTGCGCTTTAGTATCTCCAGTTCTCCCTGGAGTAAGACATACATAGGAATTCATTTTCTGGCACATGAAGAGCAGTGGCTGACAGGAGAGGCTTCCAAAGCAAGAGGCTTTAATATAGTCATATTCAAGCTAACATATTAGAAGTAAGGAGTGGTGGTGGTATGATTAAGGCCAACTGTTAAACAGCAAATTTGAAGTAACATTCCGGGTATGACCGATGACCCCTGGAATGTATAACAAGAAGAAAAATATGGTGTAGAGCACTTCCGTGAAGTGCTAAGAATAAATTCAAACTGCATCTTTAAGAAAAACTGGGTGCCTAAGCCCTGCTATCACAATACTTTACTAAACCATAGAGAAATATTTGTGTGCGTTTCCGTGTATGCTGAAAGATACAGGCATGTGGTAAATGAACCCTGGGCACCTTGGAAATGCAGGGTGGTTTGGACAGTTTTAAAAAAAAAATCTTTAATCTGTAAGAGGATTCTACCACAACTGTCTCTGAGAGCCTTTCTTACAATTTTGAAAAGGCTGAATGGCTCAGAGAAAAATAATAGAAGTAAACGCTCTGGATCTGGGTTTAGATTGTTCTTTCTTATGCTTTCTACCTCATTTCAAATGACTTACAAAATACTCTGGCAGTTACTTCAGTGGATGTCTTCTGTTCCACTGTGACGTTAGGATGTTTCTCCACACGTACAGTTTTTTCCATACGTTGCTTTGCATGAATAAACCTGAAAATATGTAACAGCTAACTGTTTATAAAAATATTTACTTACATATGTTGGTCTGGCTTTTTCTTTGTTTTTTTGTTGTTGTTTGTTTTTGGGGTTTTGACACCCAAACTAGGCCGGCAGCCGTTAGTGAGGAAGTATCTGTTTAAGGAAAGCCACCTCTAGCTTACTGGCTGTCACCAAGGACTCTAAAGACTGAATGGACTTGACTAGTTGGCTGTTTTCGAGGCTAGTATTCAGCACAATTGCTATTTTGATTGAGACAGTCTTACTACTGATAGAGAACTTTTGCGTTCTAACATATCTGGCAATTGTTAACTTAACTTTTTATCTTTTTTTTGATCGATATATTTATTACTTTGGCTAGTGCTATGTGGGTGTCCTTTAGAGCTTTATATAAGCATCTGTTTTCTATGACTTGAACGTTTTTCTCATATTGGCAGATAATGCTAGAAATCAGACCCATGCAAGCTTGAAGATGGTTGTAAAGCAGTTAGAACAGTATGTATTCCAAAAAAAAAAAAAAACACCCATGCAAGCTTGAAGATGGTTGTAAAGCAGTTAGAAACAGTATGTATTCCAAAAAAAAAAAAACCCCAAAGCAAGCAAACAAAAAAAAAACCCCACAGCTGTGTTTTTTGTCTGTTAATGCAAATAGTTTGGATAGTCTGTCTTAGCTCTTAAACTAAGTGTGTGGGGGCGGGGAACACAAAATACTTGCTCATAGGGTAACTGTCTGTGGACAATCCATCATTCTTAAGTTCTAAACAAAAGAGCTAAAAATACTTGTTTTATAAGTGTTCAGTGAGAGTATTCCAGCAGGCTGGAATTCAATATAGTTATGTGAAAAGGGTAGAAGGAACTTGATTTTATTTCAGACTAGCAGGGTCTATGCTTGGATTCCACAAAACATGGGGAAACCTGAATTGGGAGGAGGGAGGGAAGGTAAAGGTTTATTAAGTTCAAGGTTTATTGTTGCCTAAGTTTATAAATAGTAAAACTCCATCCAAGAAGACAGAGTAAAAAACATTAGCTTAGGCAAACACTCCGAAGTCTGGACCTCTGAGTGAGGTTATATATTTGTTTGTTAATGTACAACACATGGGATGTACAAGACCCCTAGCCAGGGGGTGAGGGCAGCAGGATTAAGAATCTGTGCCCTAATTGTACGATGAGACTGAGCTATTGCTTTCTGCAAGTCAAGCCTTGCTACTGAATGTTAGTCAGTCTTTCCACCTCATCCTTCCTTTTAAAAAAAAGGCCAGTGATACTGAACTGAGCCTAAGGAGTTGAATTCAGTTCTATATCTGAAAATCTCTCCCTTTCTTTTAAGGTGGAACCACTAGTCACACACAGAGTGATACTGACAGTGGTTTGACTCTTTCAGATTCAAATCAGTGTTTTAAGAAGGTAGGAATGCTCTTTTTCTGATGCACAAGAAATCCTGCATAGCACAGTTTGCTATTACTTCAGGGCATAAAATTGGCGATCCTGAAGATTTTGCTGTATGAATGCAAAAGTGGGTACTTAAGATCTATTATCATCTGACTGGGTATTGTTTAAGTTTTGGGAGACTAGCCCCTAAGAACACAATACAGCACATTCAAATACTGATGCTTACAAATGCTGCAAAGCATGGTATTTTTATTAACTTTCTCTAAAAGTCAACTAAAATTTTTCTAGTTGAAAATGAGATGAAACAGTCAGTAGGTAGAAAGACTACTTGAGAAAAGGCCTAAAGCAATGATTGGAGTGTTGTTCTCAGTACTGGCTAAAGAAGATGTCAGAAAGCAAAACTGGAAAAACATACAAAGTAAAAGAACTGGAAAATAACTAGAAGAATAGAAAGAGTGACCAAGTCAGAAGCTACATTATTGGACGGAAAGATGATCAGAGTATATAGCACAGTTATGGCGTTATGCAAACTCACAATTGGAAGTAAAGAAAAAGAGATGTCGCAATGCCTTACAAAGCCCTTAAACATGGACAGGAGTGTTGCTTACATGGGTTACTATTTTCTGTAGCTGTCACCTGTCAGATCCTGTTTAGGTCTGATAACTATAAGCTGGCTGAGAGTTTGTGGCCACAGTGACTGGACCTTCAGCCGGCAACCACAGCCTAAGAATAGAGTTTCAAAGACAATAAAAGACAATGCTTTAGCCTTACCATGTATCAAACCAAGGTGTGAAAAGTTTCAGTCAGTCTTGAGCACAGTCAGATTTCTTTTGGAGACTATGTACAGCTTGAACTTGACAGGTGGCTTATGTAAAACTAAAATATGAAAAATTTGAAAAAAAAATGCAGATTTGAAAGAGATCATCCCTCTGAAGCAGCAGCTTTAACCAGGACAGCTCACAGTTTCTTCCTTAAATGCCATATAACGCCTGATAAGACCTTAATAAATGCTAGCCTGATTGAATACTGGGAATGAGGGAGAGGAGGAGTAGTTTGAAATTAAGGAAAGCAAACGCTTGGAAGGGATGACTAGACTAGACAGTGTATCTTCCCGTAAGGGATTTGATTAAACTTCCTTTTTCTTCTGAGGAATGTTGTGGAAGAGGCACAGAAGGCTTCCTTTCTATCCCAAGTGGTCCAAGCCCTTCTAAAATAGCAGAATAGAAAATGCAGCTGATCTTCAGAACAGAAGCTTGGTTTCTTGTCTTTCAGTTATTTCCCACCAAGACTGTCCGTTTTGTCTGACGGTAACACTGAGTTTATTTTCTTCTGTGATTGTTAAGAGGCTCTCAAGTGCTGTCGATAAGTATGGTCCAGCCTAACCTCATTTTTGTTGTCTTGTCCTGTGACTCAGTTGTGTATTCCTTCTGTAAATTCTTTTAACACCACTCAAGGCCACTCCCTTAACACTGACCAGTACTATTGGTCTGAGGCAGGTTCCTGCAGTTGCGTCCTTCCTGCTAACCTAGTAATGGTAAAAGTGATTAATCCAATCTGAAGGTAAACTCCATGATGGCTCTGCTCTCAGTATTATTTCCTTTGATTCACTGTGAACTAAGCTTCAAATTAATTGAGCACTCTTTTGCTATTGTACACAAGCATAATTAATGTCCAGCTAGAAGGGATTTACAGAATAATCAACCCATCCAAGTTTAGGAAAAGGTTACGTCTTTCCCTGTACTATAATAAAACATTTCTTGTTCTGTTTGTCCTCTCCACAATGACGCTTTATAGTAGCCGTTTGCTTTGTAACATTGCTCTGCAAGCACATCATTAAAATAAGGGATTTAATCCTGTGGAAGTCTCAGCTTTGTACTGCAGTCACTATATTATTCTGCTGGCAAGCAATAAGACCGGAAAGGAGGCTGTTGGAACTGCAGGAGCCTACAAGAGTCTGAATATACCTCAGTGTTCTGTAAGATCGTGTTTGCTGACTTACTGCAAATTAATGTGTAAGCTGTGTGTATACCTGGGGTTCAGTTATTTCAAGGCAGCTATAGCAGACAATGTCTAACAAACTAACAAACTGGTATCTATAACATTAAACATTTTAAGAATGAGTTGGATTTTTTCAGATATTTCAGAATTCACACGTGTGCGCGCGTGTGTGTGTTTAACCTTCTACAAACATATCCCAGATGATCAACGTTCTTGATAAGAGTGCTGTCAAACTTCTAGACTTCATAACTGCTTGGCCTGCATGGGCTGAAGCTATGATCAGGAGTAACTGGGTAAAGCAAGAGTTTATATGATTACTTTACAAAAGAGAAATTTATTTAACAGTAGCATCTCTGTACTCAGTAAATCTCAGCAAGTTAGGCTGATAGGAGCAAGTAATTCCAGCACTAACGGAGCCAAGTAACTGCTGAGTTCATGATTTGACTTGAGTTTCTTCTACTTGAGGTAGTGTATCCCAAACTGGCTTCTGAATGTGCTCAGGTATTGTCTCGATCTTAGTCTAAAAGTAGAGCAAAAAAGAAAAACATCTGTTATACCAACTATTGAACATTTAACTACTTGGCTTTATTTTTTCTGGCTGGAGATATTTCTGATAAAAAATGCCACCTAGTGGCACTTTCAAGCAATACAGCCTCTTTATCCTCAAGAAACGGTCCTTATGAACTACACACATTTCCACTACTGATGTTCCAAAGACTTCAGTAATTGTTAGTACTTCCACCAAGTACTAACACAACAGTTGTTAGTACTTGTTGTGTTGATGTCACAACAGTTAATAATACAAGACAGAAACTTACCTTTTTTACTTCCATGGCAACCCCTTCAGGTAAGTTTCGTTGAACATATTCCAAATACACAGCAGCAGTACTGCCTGTTAAATGTTTTAACTAAAACAGAAATAATGTTTTTTTAATGAACTACTATTTTTAACACTTCAAACAATAGAGAAAAAAAAAAGAGAGAGACTTTGCTCCAGCTTCTCTAATTCTTGCTATGGGATCAAAGATCTTACAGAAGGGCAGCTTCCATAGGACATTCTATCAAGGCAGTCAAGCTCTACACAGCTCTTACACGAGCACAAAGTAGCTATTTCACACCACAGAATGGTACATTCTGTCTGTGATCACATGCGTTGACTATGATGGAAGTGGTGGATCATAAAAAGCTGTAGATACCAGATCAAATTTATTACAGGTTATGTGAGAATTAAATAAGAGCTTTATATAATAAAGTCCTACAACTCCAGTTCACTTGTGTTCTTCATTTTCTAGTTTGTCCTGGATGGCAAAAGTTATGCTGTTCAGGATTAGTAAACTTATGGTCTACGAGTAGCTATTTGTACTGCAATAATGTCTGGGGACATAAGGCAAAGTCCCATTTTGCTAATCACTGTACAAATATATGGTAAGAGACCCAGAGGCCACAAAATGCTGGCAGTAAACCTTTCTTTTCAGAAAGTCAACCACAGCTGTGTTCTAAACCATGTATAAGTTTTTGTCATCAGCCACAGAGCCAGTGGTTTGTACATGCTTCCTTCCCTGCATTTCCTCGATGCAACTTTTAATTTGCCACAATATGTTGCATATGGCTAAAGTAAGTAGGTTCAAAAATGTCAGACAAAACTCATGCAAGACAGAACGCTTAGCGACTACTGGTAAAGACAAGGATTTAGCTGCATCTTCTTCCTGAGAAAGCTCCTATGCCACTGGATACCAAAAGCATAGACAGAAAAAAATGATTCTAAAAATCTATCCTCTTTCTTAATCATTCCCTATCCAGATGACAATAGGGTGTCAAAATCAGCCTTTTGGTCAAAAAAAAAAAAAAAAAAAGAGTCTATATAGGCTGTACAGTCAGAATAACTTGTATGTTCTCCTTCATGTACCTAGGTCTAACTCTTCTCTACTGTTCCCACCGCTTTCCTCCCTAACCCAATTAAGTGATAATAGAAAGTCTGTGCTCACTCCTGAACTATTCAACATAGATTAATGTCTTTGAATTATGCCCCTACACATGCTTTTCCTCCCCTACATCTTACCTCTAAACAGATGTAATGCGTTCTCATTTCATACTGAACTCTGTGCTTCTTGTAAATGTGTACCGATTTTAAAAGTGTGAATCGTTCTATCTTCTTTGGAGGTCTATGTCTGAAAAAGGACAACAAGAAAACATCATATAAAGGATACAAATTTAAAGTTATGTGAAAGATTACAAGACAGCATTAAGCAGTGGTACAGTTCAATATTAACCCATATGTGCGTAAGTTAATACTCTAGTATTAACCAGCATTAGGTCAGAGAAACTAGAGTACTGACAGCTCTAATTAGAGGACCGTCAATATCCTTAGGCATAGTTAAAAGGCACGTTTATTGTGACAGTACTGAGTGTACAACTGCTGCTGCTTTCTGATCAGTGTACTGTCATCTAGTAAGCGTTAGATTTATAATCTGAGAAAAAACACTGTCAGATTGCACCTGCTTTTTCTGGAGAGAAAAAAAAAGAAAGAAAGAAAGAAAGAAAGAAAAAAAGAAAGAAATAGTTGTAGGCACAGAACTTGAATTACAGCACAGGAAGTAAGAAGCAGCTGCTACCATGTTGCTCCAGAGATCAACTACTTACACTTTTTCAATAGAGATGCCAAGTTCTTTAGCTGCAAGCACTGCAAAATACTCATAGCTGTCCAACACAGTTTTATCATGGCCTTTAACTAAAAGAGATAATCTCTTGTACAGTGTTTCTGGCTCATCTGAAAGAGATACCTGTGTTTTGTAAGAAAAAAGACAAAAGTTACCACTCCATGTTTTCCTTAACTAATGCATGCGCTGCACTGCATGTTTTCCTAGCCTGTATGCCCCTTTTGTAAAAGAGGAAGCAAAAAAAAAAAAAAACCCACACATACACACTTTTTAGCTGCTCATTTTAGATTACTTTCAAGAAGCTGACAATATTACACTGATTGATAGTTCCCAGTTTCATCAGGGAAGGCAAAGGTGTGAAGAGGTCCCTAACTTTTCGACATTCCGGTAAGATTTCTCGATCAGGAAAGGTAAGACAAATCCAGATAAACGAAAGAGCAAAGGCAAGAAGAGCCTTTGCTAGTTGTAAGCTAGTTGTAAAGCTCCCTAAACACAGCAGGTTTCCCTAGGCATATTATTATTTCTGTTTGTCCAGGTGGAACTTTATGACTTTTAGTTAGAGCTTCGTTTTCTGAGGGCCTAGGGTCAGTGTTCATCTAGAAAGCCCTGATATGCACAGGAAGAACTGGTTTACTCCCAGGCAGTCCAGTGCAATAAATTCAGTATGTACCACACATGCCAGAAAGGCTGGGTATGGACTGCCGGTCTAATACTGTCTATAGGATTTGACTTGCTCATATGTATTATAGAACAGATTTAACATGTGTTTGTGAAGTCCAGGTCAAAATCAAAGCATTTAGCTTGTAAAGGCTAATGTAAAGATATCCACCACATACCTTCATGAGCTTTCCACCTCACAAGCCCTGGGCTCCCAGCTACCAAGCCAGAGACAAGGGCCCTGGGTTGGCTAGGTTGCTGTAAGCACTGAATGTGGCCAGAAAGCTTATGTTTCATAGAGTTACAGCTACACAGGAAAGTAACTGTCCGAGAGGCAAAGCAAAAGCAGGCGTGCATTCCCAGATCTGCTTTTTGTAGTGAACTGTAAGCTCTGGGAATCTTGCTGAAGAAAAGATCTCAGTTATCAACAATCTAAACTGCTTCTTTCTCTAATGCAAATGTGACATCATTATGACAGAACTTTAAAAGGCTGAAGGAAAGATAAAAACACCATTAAAATCGCTTTTTTTTTTTTTTTTTTTTTTTTTTTAGGGAACATGGTGGGAGAAGTGGAAAGAAGAAGGAGGACCTTTTATACTTACGGAAGAAAACATTGTCTTTGCACAATTCTGCTTGCATAATTGACAGGAAAAGCTGACCCCTGTATAAAATAAATTGTCAGCTAGCTTTTTTCCAAATTGGAAACTAGCCAGTTAATATAGGGTTATTAAAAGTTACTTTTATGCACACCAGAGTGGAACACATTCCTAGGCATTTGTTTGCCCGACTGAAAAGCCTGCTCCATTGGAAAACAAAGGAAAACAGGAACACAGAAGTCTACTTTAATACACAACTGGACCTGGAAAAAAAGAACATATTAAGGGAGCAATATAACAACACGCACCTATTAGCCATGCACCTGAACAGCAATCACAAAGCAATTTTATTAGCAGAAGACCGCATTTTGTGTGGCATCGGATACTACTTCTACATATGTTAACATTTTCTCCTTAGCTCCACTTTCATAGTACAGTAAAATCTATTAGCTCTGTCAATAGTCAAGACTGACAACGACTTACTGTTGTAAAAGCAATTGAAAATAGTATCCTATAAATGCAAAAGTGCACCCACTGTAATTTCCCATTCTTTTTTCATCAGGATGTTCTTTGTGACTTTGAGCATTTGTTCTTTTGAATAACACATTTAAATAGAAATAGTTCTAAGAAGTAGATGAACCATATCGAAAGGATAATTTGTTTTTCTTGTGTTAAAAAAGGAATCCAGCTGTAAATCAAGAAGCAGCACTGCCCTCTCTCATCCTAGAAAAACTCTCCCTTCTGAATGTTATGTGGCTTCCAGTTTCCCTCCGATAATTCTCAACTTGACAAAGTTATAGGCTACTAGAGGGTTTAA